CTCAAGTCCTGAAGATAACTCCACTCCTAGGGTAAAACCGCTAGCGTTAGAAATGGGGCAAGAAATCCCTCATGACTACAGCTGCCCCACTGGTCATGTCTTAGACTGTGTCATCCCGGATTATGGTGAGTGCTGTGTACCATTTCCTAGGTCTTTGGTGGTCGATTCTCTCCACCTGATGTTCAACTACGAGAATAAGATGGAGGAAATGAGCATGCTTGTCACTTAGAAACCAGAACCAGTTCAGCTCATCAAATAGACCGGGCGAATCCCTACCCAAATCTTAGGTTGCAGGACAGCCGTGATTTCCCTGTTGAAACCCCATGGATTGATGATGCGTTCAGTGAAGGACCTAAGGGTAGACTCCAACTTCCTGCTTCGGATTATGGGGAGCGCCTTCGAAAAGGTTGACCACCACCTCCATCACATGATCGTCCGTTTGATCTAGTCTCTGAAAAATTTGTTTATGTACTTCATGATTATCTGCCTGCCGCAGAAGCTAGAATAAAAACTGTCTTCGAAAAATGGTATGAGATGTAGGTTCTGGAGCTAGACATCAGAGTGGAGACTTGCCGCAACATCCTACTGGATATATAGTCGTTATGACAACCCATGATTCTTATGACCAAGCTCTCAGCTTTGATGACCGCCTCCACGATCACTATATTATAAGGGTAGTAGGCTTATCCTCATACAAGAACAACTGCCGTCTCTCTGTAAGTGAAGCAGCTGATGTTGGCCCTGGATCAAAACAGTAACGTTCATCTCCTAGCGCGGAAGCCATCGCTGGGGGCGAAATACTCGGTCGTTTGTGTTCTTATGTCAATGGGGTCGAACGCTGTAACGTTGATGGGCCACTAAGGCCCCATGGTAGGGACCCACGCCACTGTTCATCACATTCAAGTTGTCTTGAAAGTTCCCCATTGGGTTTAGCGAGATCATAGCACGGTAATCCCCACTACTATCGTCCCGGATCTCCTGTTTCTTCTGATGATCATAACTCATCCCGTAGATTCCCCTCACCCACGGGCCATTTCTAAGACGATGCGAATGGTGGGATACGGTTATCAGAAGATAATCATGATGGAGTAAAGAGGGCACACTGTGAACTGGATCGTCGTGGAGCTGAGGATGTGTGGGTTGTGGAGGCAGCTATGTAGGGAGAGCCACGACTGAATGCATCGAGAGGTGTCCTCGTGTGTTTGAAGGGTCTTAAGCGACACACAGCAAAAAATGATGTGTAAATCCAACCTGATCACCCTATTTAACAGTATCGACGTTTATGTGGGTATTTTTACGCTCGTTATGGGTATTATGCCTTTAACCCTAGCCGATACAATGTTATTTTGTCATTTGACTGTCTTCTTTGGCCTCACACTGACTGCTTGTCTCTGTTTGACTGAGACTTACTGCGGATGCTTCACTTTACTATTATGTGATGCCGGACAGTTGATAGCGTGACCTCATTGCACTGCGCTCGGCATTTCGTCTTGGCGCAACTTGAGGTCGTGCTGTGATTTGACTGCTTATATTTTGACTGGCCACTGGAAACATCTGTTTATTAACTTGATTCTGACAGACAGAGTTTTGGTCCGCTTTTGTCGGAAATTTTATCGATTCTCAAGTACTTAACGACTGCGTTTGTTTAACCAATTTTTACCACATAGTTTTTATTCGTGCCCGAGAAAATTTAGACTGTATGGTTGCCTAAAGGCACTGTTGAAGCACTTTTGTAATTTCGATATAACTTATTGCTGCTTCGATAGTACCACAGATTTATTGCAAATCTATCACAGATTTAACACGAGTACGGTTTTTGATACTGTTCATCCAATCTTTGACTGCGTCACTCACAAGGGCTTGGAAGCCATACAGTAGAACGTGTGAACCTGTCTCAATCGTGTTAGTTTGGTGCTACTGATTTGGTTCCCGCGTTCGGACCAAAATAATTGGATTTTGGTCGTCAAAACTGGCTAACTGTTTGTAGCGGCCAGAATCCAATAATCTTGGCCTGAACGCGGGAAATAACTAGGCGGTGCCAACTGACGTGAATCTGACTAGTTCCTGCGTTCTACTGTATAGCTTCCTAACTTCCGCGAGTGACGCACAGTCAAAGGTTGGATCGAAATATCAAAACGCTGTTTGTGGTAATTCAATAGTAGATTCGTAACAAAATCTGTGGTACTATCAAAGCAACAATAAGTTATGTCAAATTACAAAAGTACCTCAACAGTGCCGTTGGGTAACTATACAGTCCAAAACGTTCTCGGGTACAAATACGTACTACACGGTAAAAACTGGTTAAAAAATACAACTGTTAAATACCTGTCGGTCAATAGGAATATTCCCGGCAAAAGGGATCAAAACTCTGCCTACAGGAATCAAATCAACAAACAAACGTTCCCAGTAGACAGTCAAAAGACAAACAGTCAAATCACTGCACAACCGTAAGTTGAACCAAAACAAAATGTCGTGCGCAGTAAAACAACATCACCTTATCAACAGTCCAGCGTCACATAATAGGGAAGTGAAACATTCATAATAAGTCTCAAACATACAACGGCAAATACCGAGTGTAAAGTCAAATAAGACAGTTAAACAAGCAAATGACATTACCGCGGCTAGGGTCAAAGGTACACCATCCATGACGAGGGTAAAAATGTTAAAATAAATGTCAATACAATCAAATAAGGGTGATCGGGAGGGATTTTCAGATCATTTTTCCGTTACACTGTTTTTAGGGGTCTTCCTGCAGCTTTACAGTCCAGAAGTATTACCAGTGCAATGGAGGCACTGATCGACGGCAGTTAATTATTTTTTGTCGCAGGCTTTTTGGGAGTGAGACACAAGGCGTAGCGTATCCACGCAAGGAAGTTTTTCAAATAATGTGGACACCGAACTCAAAGATCAAGCATTCACAACTTTTGCGGTGTGAATTATGAAGCCTGAGTGCAGTAAATGTGCATTTGTGTGGAATAGTTTTTCATGAGACAGTATTTCATACCGTTGTATGGAAAGTCTTTGTACGCTCTAGCGGATGCAGGCGGTAAATCGTCTATTTCCCAGCAAACAGTGTTATGTAACGTGGATGTCACAACAGGCCACAACTCACACATTCCGTTTGCCGTTACTGCACATTATCGTTACGCAAACCTTACTCATGCTGCCTTTGAAATGTATGTTCGTCTAAAGCGTCGAAGATCTAGAAACCCCACGCAAGTATGCTGATATGTAGTGATACCTTTTAGTAATATTTTAGTGTTACCCGTAAGTTCTTCTGCACTCTTGCCTCTTATGCGAGTACCGACTTATCAGGATTGTTTGATACAAAGCAAAGTCGCTGAATTCAGTTAATACCGATACCGCCAGCGTCTGTAAGCAAAAGTGGCGAAACGAACATTAGTAAGTATGCGCTACAGACTTGTTCACACGTCTCTTAAATGTTGCCTTACCTAATAGTGCCTTGTAAATTGCCGACCCGCCGTGAAGAAGGCAAGTAAAAATGACCAATTCCTCTTCCCTTTTTGAAACCGACTAGTGGAGAACGCATGTGAAAAGACCGAGTGATACTTCGGTGTCATCGTTAATACTACAACACCGAACATCTGTATGAGAAGTGCGTTGGGAAAGTTCACAAGTGATCACCATCTAACATTATTCTTGAGTCACAGAATCTGTAACCAAGGGCATAAAATCACATGGAGTTGCGGCAACGAGGTTCTTTGTCATCCTTTCCTATCGCATTATTAAAGCCATAGCAAGCAACGCTTCGTAGCAATAATAATATTTATTCTCGTGTCTACAGGTTCATGCAAGCCAAGAGTCTATCGACGTTTATCCTGTAGGACTACAGGCTGGAATAATTATAGATGTAACAAAGACTGAAACAGCTCAGGAATCCAAAATATGAGAGATACTATGAAGCGAAGACGCTAAGCTTCCTCGGAGAATTTTTTCGCCATTGGTGTCCTAAGAAGCTAAGTGAGGCTGAGTCAGTCTGTTTAAAAACCCAGACTCCACCATTCCATCAGAAAATTGGAAGTTCATTCATATTAAGTTGCATCATCTTGCACTCTACACAAGCTGACAGACGTCTTCCATAATTCAGCATTAAACACGAATATTTTCGCGAACACTTTGAGTTTTCTTCTCTTTCCCCCTTCCGGTATTAGACAATTAGAGAAGGATCAGGTGACAAAGATTGAAGGTCCCCGCTAGAACAAGTGTTTGACAGGTCAGATGCCCTAAACTTCAGCCCTCTTAAACTTCTACTTCATAAAACCAGATGGTACTTAGCTTTTTGTTTCTGCCGTACGAAGTGGAATTTCCGAAAAGCGCAGACTCTCTGCTGCCATACGGTAGTAACTTAATAAAGTAACCAATTGTCATGACCCTAACAAATATTGCAGCTATTTCTGCATAAAAACGTACAGAATTTTTCGTTGGAAAATCTACAAGGACATTATGAGTGTTAGAAATAATGAAACTACCTTCTCAAATTCGGAGAATGATGTAACTCGTTTGAACTGTGTTGAATTATCTGCACTGGGATCCAGTAACGTTTTTGTAACGAGTGGATCCTGACTGCTGCAAACAGCACTGTATTACAGCATGTTTTTTGAGATGGATGTCTTCTCAAGGCTCTTTGCTGTTGAACCCGATGTTTACAAATGTTTCTGATGATATGGAAAACTTTGTTACACCGTCTCTCCTGACAAGTAGTTATCACATAGTATTATCCTTTAGTTGTAGAGTTTTCAAATCGCTCTACAAAATTCATCCGTATGCAGGATGTGCAATGTACGATGGGTACTACATCAGTTACACCAGTAGACTTGCCAGCTAATACTGACTTGTCTATTTATAGTAAGTGGATCTGATAAAATGGAGTGTTTGAGGCATTTAGATCCTTTCCAGATGTGGAGGTCAATTAGGTGAAAACTTTTTCGATTCCGTTAAAAACAGTTTTTTACTACAGTGGAATGCAAAAGCACCGCTGTAGTCTGTGAAGGTTGCAACGCCCTCGCGGGTGTTTCTAGTTTTTGCCAAAAATGTTGGTGAAGCATAGTTATATTCATAGCTGGTTGTTGCGAATAAATGAATGTAAGTTGTGCATACATTTAAATTGTTGTCACTGCTTTTTTCCCAACACACAGTCATAAATTACTGCGATCCTGCCTGAATATCGACTTGTCATTTGAATATTTTTTTTTGTTAATTACTTATTCATTGGAAATCAACCGTTAGTACGTTGATGTTTGAAAGGAAATTAGTGCCCGTAGTAATTTAGTATTCGGATAATCCCGGACCCTAGTGAATTCACAAAAGTTCTGGGAAGAAACCTTGGGATAGATTAGAATAATGCAGCATTTTCTGCAACACTTTTGGTCTACCTTAAACAATTCATAGAGCTCTGCGCAAACTTCAGGCCTGCCAATGAAGCCGCAGTAAAGTCCGAAAAATTCTTTGGGAACTGCAGAAAATCTGTTGCCTTGCCCTGAGTCCATCTTGAGTTTTTAACTACAGAGGTAACCCGAAGTGCATCCAAAGTCTGTACTGGCTGAGTTTCCAATCGTTGCGTATAAGAATTTGTACAGCTTTAAGCGGAAATCTCAGCCTATCTAGATAATGTCGAGAAATGTATTTCATTAGTAATAGTGCTGTATATCCCTTGGCATATACGTTTTTACCTGAAAATCTTGGAAATTAGATAAACTGTTTACTGGCTGCTTAGTAACCTTAGTACAAAATCTTGACTTGCTAATTTCACTTTCAGTGCCTGGACACGCAAGCAGTTTTTATGTAACTAAGTGTTGGTTTCATACAATGATTTTAACTCAATAAATGTTTTAGAAACCACGTCCGCAGGTTTCTTTGTCACTTTACTCTTCTTCACCGTCTCATATTTTTCATCAAATTCTTAATTTATGATCAATTGTAAAGCAGTTAAACTTGGCATGCAGCTCTACATTTTATCTGCTTACGTTTCAAGTAAACTGCTGGCGGCTTGCGTGAAGCTGACATTTCTGACGCTATAAATACGATGGGAAGCATATTAGTTGCATTCCTTATTGTAATGCAAAGACCGGTAGTTAGGATGTAGCATAAATGTGCAGCAAAATATTTCAATCAATATTCAATACTCATTACTTACTCTTACCAGTTTGAGGTAATGCTAACTACCTACCAACGCTCAAATATCGTTTCTAAGGTTAGCATTTATCGTTGTGCAGTTTTTTATCTATAGATCCTTTTTCTCCCTGTTTCCTCGGGTAAATTCGGTATTGAAAAGTAAGCTATGTTGGGATATACGAAATAAGAGGTATTCCACATTTTGGTATCTTTTTAATAGATGATGCTCGTGAGTGATATATCGATGGCTCCCCAACTATTTTGAAAACGATATATGAAATAGGTAGCGGTCAGTTCAGTATATCTAATAATCTCGTTTTATTTCTGATGAAATTCCGATGCTATTACGTGTTTCGGATAAGGTGCTTTTAGAAAGTAGTCTTACGTATAAGACGTATCATAGGGATAATTATCTAAGTCAATTTTATATCCAATGTTCGCAAATACACCCTGATAAAATCTCTGTGCCATCACCAAGCGGGATACACTGAATCGATCTACTTGCTAGCTAGGCTTTACATTTCTTTGTCTTCAATTCTCTTTTGAAGGTGTTCAGATTAATAGATCAGTAATAATCAGGTTTTGTATGTATGCCAGGCCTTTTCTCTCTATGTACATCTAAGTTTCGTTTGGTTATTATGAAACATCTTACTATCGCTTGTTTCTTTCATTCCCATTAGTCGGAACTGCTCAAAATTTTTTGTGGCTGGTAATGAGTAGAATAACAATACAACTCAAAACTTTGCTGGTTCATTCACTGGGTCATTAAAACACTTTCTCTGAGGGCTAGGTACACTACTTGGCTACCTGAGTTTTGACAGGCTAATCAGTTTAACCCATTTTTCTGTCTATTTTTAGGGTTTGTCAGACACCCCTTTCTTGGCGTTGGTTACTCTGATTGTCACTACTTCTGGTTCGGCACTTAATAAACCTAAATAACTACTGACTTACCCAGTGGTGATCCCTTACTCGTCATTTTCTTCTTCGCCACTTGCAACTGCTTGCGGTTATCGCAAGACCATTGTGTTTATAATTCTCATTATAGATAATTAAAAACAGCCTCTATGCATCGATTTGTTCTAAGAAGGCTGTATCAGGATGTATTGTTACTTCCTCTTCAGATATAGGCTTACTTTTCAGATTCAACTCAGGTACAAAAAGGTGTCAGTTACCTATCCCTGACGCCATTCCACGTGCAGATACACAGGTACTAGAAGCAAGTGATTGGCGACCAGGAAAGCACTAAAGATAGCAGGAATCTACTGATCTACGCCAACTGTTGTTGATAGTAACGCAATTTACTCACTTCCATCTCTGGTTAGATTTCGGTAGTACCCAAGTCAAGTAATACCTGTCTGTTTAAAGTTGGTACTGATCAGGAAGTTATAATTTCAAAAATGTCACAGGTGCTTTATAGCTTTGGTTTGCTTCCCTACTTAAACATTTTATTTCACTTGCTAATATGTCTTTCCAAACGTTTAATTTCGTCTATTCCGGCATATATATATATATATATATATATATATATATATATATATATATATATATATCCCTATAAAAGAAAATCAAGACCAGACTCAAGTAATATGGATCACAAAAAGCAAGTTATTGTAAACGTCCAGTTAAATGTGATATGCTTATAACGTAGCCCCAGCATTAGTAACTGTCTGAATTATCGCACCACATGTGAGGTTCATATTAATATGTAGGCTATCTGGAGGCTTCTATGAAGTTAAAATCTTCAGCCCTAATTCATTTCTTCGAATATGATCTCAGTTGATTTGAATTTATGTAGTAAAAATGTTAGCTGTTAGTAGAGCCGTTATGCTAGACCAGAACGTTGCTTTGTTGGTCTAAATGGTCAAAAACAGCTGCAGTGAGAATTTTAAACTAAGGGATATAATTTAATGAAAGATAGAAAATAAAGAGGGCAAAGGTTATGTACTTTCGAAAGTGTGTGAGCGGTATATGCTTGTTGAATGTCCAGAAGTAGGTTTCTTCTTGAGGTCCCTGAGAAAAAGATACCTTTTCCATTAGTATGGAGTTCAAGAGCCACGCGCTTGAGACATTCACAAAGCCTTTCTGAGAGTCTTGGAATTCTCTAGATTTCAATGTCTTCCTGAAGAACTTCATCTCCAGTGGTGGAAATCCGTAACGGAGGGATAGATGGGAACTTTAGTACTTGTTGTACAGAACTCTTCAGAAGGGGAAAGGTAGCACAAGTGAGAATGCTCACCACCAGAAATTTTCCTACGATCTTATTCGTGTCTAGAAAATAGTAAGATTTTACTTTCGTACCCCTTTTTGCGGTGTCAGGTATTTGGAATATGGTGGTGGTCACTTCTAATCTTACCGCTATTTAATCTGCCTTCCTTGTATTGTGAATGCTTAACAACAGCTCTCCAACCATTATAAGTTGAGTGGATTATGACGATGGACAAGCTTGACAAGAAAACAACAAATGTTGATCGGGACTATATGTAGTGAGACTATCACTGAGTAAAATATTTCATTGATGAATTCAGTGCAAAACTAGGTTTATTGACTTTACTGCGTGTGGAGCAGCTCATTTAATCTTCAGCTACTTATCTTTTGACTCCCATATAACCAAGATGTGGGCAGCGAATTAAAACTAATCTTCTAGGTTTTAGAATAGCTTGGCCTACTGTAAATTTAAAACTTCCAGGATTTTGGCATTCTATTTCCAGAAATTCGCACATATTATGGCCAGGAATAATAATAATATATTAGCATAGGTATAGGAATTAGAGACGATCCACTCAAATTAGCATTCTGTCGTTCATTCCTCTGTTTTTTATAAGTCCTCTTTTAACGATAACACGAGTGAGACTGAGTATGATATCTAGAATTTTGAAGTTTCTAGTCATTCGGTAGCTCGCTATGTTTCAGAAACAGTAAACTTGAGAAGAAATCGGGTTTTAACATAATTGAGATTTTATCGTTAACACCACCCTTCATCGGGTTTTGGAATACAAACATACTGAGTGATTTCTAACACTGGTCAGATTTCCTCACTTGCAGGTTGGCAAATGGGGATAACGTGGAACTTCACAAAAATGATTCCGTTCAGCTTGTCAATTTTTGCAGTCTAACAAAAAGCTGAGATCAGTAGAATTAGAAAAATACTAAGATGCACAAACGCGAAAGGAGTATAGACAAATAACTGCACAATAAATATGAGTGAATGTACTATCTTGACAGCATTTGGCTGTCATTCAGGTAGCAACGTCCCTAAAAAATATCCTCCCAAAAGTCACACACGTGAACTAAAGCAGTTAGTTTATGAAATGGCCTTGTCGACTGAGCGATGATGACTTTGAGTCAGCATTTGTTGACAATGAGTAACTTCTTGGTTGAGATCTGAGAGTCGATGCGATGGTGTTTTATGAAATCAATGGTGGCTCGAAATGAAAATGGAACCCAGTATTTCTGCAATTTTCTTTTGCCTTCTGCATAGATACAAAGATTGACGAAATACAATTTTCCGTAGTTCTGTTATGTTTTCAACTGTTTCCTTGTATTGACTCTGCCGTTTTTAGTATTATCATTGACTGACCTTTTTTCGTGCTTTCATGGCACATTCGTTTCTTTTTGTATGAAGCATCCATTGTAGAGATGTTTTGCTTTTTAACTAAGAATTCTTACCCCTGGTTGATCTATGGAATCCAAACAATGTTGAACAAAATCTCGGACAACACTTAGTATTCTAAACTCCTAAAACTGGAATTTACATTTGTTAGCCATGCTTTTTACAACTGTCAAGTATATGTTGCTATTCTAAAACCGACCTACATAGATAAATATTTTAACAATAGAAATTCAATCTGCATTTAAAACTTGCCTTAAAGCCAGAAGATATGGCTATTTATGTCAGTGGCATTCTTGGGGTTTAGAAGTTTATTATCTGAATTGCGATAATAAATTTTGCTTATAATTTCCTACCTTTTTCCTTTTTTTTGCTTCATAATTGTTTTATATTATTTGTTTTTATTTCAAAGCATTCTGTAGGCAGGCCTCATCATTTCGATACCCTCCTATCAAAACACCGACTGCTGGAGTGTCCGGAACTGCATCGACCACAAGTACTACAAAAAGTTCGACAGCGCCATCCCCACCTCCACCAGTTCAGCCAGCTTCCCAACAGATCGAAGTGTTAGTAGATGGCAAACCTGTCTTATGTGAACCTGGTATGACTATTTTACAGGCATGCGCTTTAGCTGGTGTACAGATACCTCGGTACGTGAGGATAACATTTTTTAGAGGCCTGTAAAATTCATCAAATTATCGGCAAACGATATGCTTTACTCACATTAATGTTACCCTTGCTACTTTCTATTTGATTCCAACATTCTGTTAAAATTTTACTGATTGGTGTGAAATTGCGTGGGATTGAATGATACATTTTTGATACATAGTAGATACATATTAAAAGCCTGGCACATACCTATTTTGCTACAACACTTTTCGAGGAAAATAACGGTATTCATGATGTACCGCGACCGAAATGCTACAATCCTACTATTTTAAGCTATAGGAAGCCATTCATACTCACCTTATGCATTTTCCTGTAATAGTGAATTTACAGTGGTAAATGATACATATTTAACGCACATTCGTATTTCATACACCATCCAACAGTTGAATACAGCTCGTTGTCCGTTCAGCATGTATTAACCAATTGACATGCAATCATGTGGGTTTATATGGTTTATCAAGGCTTTAATTCTCACTAAATAATTGTTGAAACTCACCATTTCTCTTACTAGGTTGATTATGTTTTTACTTTTAAGTCACTGACTACAGTTAGCATGAATATACTAAAGTTAGATACGTTCTGATTGCATTGACAAACGCAGAGTATTAATTTAAGGTAATGGTTAACAATAGAGAGTGAAGTGGTTGAGTGTGTTGACCACTTCACTTACCTGGGAAGTAGGATCAACCTCGGTGGGTTAGTTGCCGATGAGATTTCGGCACGGATACAAAAGGCTGGATTGGCTTTTGCCAATTTGCGCCACCTATGGCGCCGCCGTGATATTCGTTTGTCTATTAAGGGTCGCGTGTACTGCACAGCAGTCCGCTCTGTTCTACTATACGGCTGTGAAACATGGCCATTGAAAGTGGAGGATACAAAAAGGCTTCAGGTGTTTGACCACCGTTGCCTTCGTAGTATAGGACGTATTCCGTGGTGTCACCATGTGAGTAATGCAGAAGTCAGGTGCAGAGTTTTGGGGAGAAGAGGTAAGTCAGTTGACGAGGTTGTGAACCTTCATCGACTGAGATGGTTGGGACACGTACTACGTATGCCTAGTCACAGATTGCCTCGTCACACAAGGTTGGCTGAGGTGGGTTCAGGCTGGAAAAAGGCCCGAGGTGGCCAGACTAAAACATGGCACCAATGTATGAAGTCTCTGACTGTTGGTTTAAGCCATGTAGGACGATGCAGACTAGGTGGTTGGGGTCCACGGGACAAGAGGAACCAGTGGTTGGAGACCCTAGGTGATATGGCTCAGAACCGAAGTCAGTGGCGCAGATGTATACACACATTATCCTCATCTTAACAACGCTATACCGAATCTCACTATTTTGTCACTCCTCTTTCCTTTCTTCTCGTACTTTATATTTCTTTTGACTGCATTCACTTATCTTCATCCTTCACCTCACTACCTTTTTACTTGATGTGCTGATATGAGGTGTGGCAACTCGGACCGTGAGGCAGTAATGCCTGGTCCTATGTTAATAATGATGATGATGAATTTAAGGTAATCTAGTTAGTTTCTAAAGATGAGCGATGGTTGAAACGGATGGGACTGCTGATTAATATTCAAACCAATCGAACAAGTTACGCGAAATGATTATTGTCATTATTATTATTATTGTTATTGTTATTATTAACTTGTAATCATTAACTTTATTTATAAGCGTGGCAAGTTTACTCTACAGTATAAAGTAAGTAAAATTTAAAGTTCACATTGGTGAGGATAATTCTTATCAGAAGAATGTGTTCACATTAACTGGGTCGCAGTTGTTGACTACAATTATACAGGTAACTACTCATGAAGTCTAGAGTTATGTGAGGAAATAAGATTGAAGTAGGTGGAAAATAAGTATAAGTGGCTGACACTTCTGGTATGTAGGCATTGAGTGGATTCAATTAGGTTACTGTAATTAGTTATGGGTCACGTTGTGGAATGTCCCTAAGCCACTGGTTTCTGTCATCTCAGAGGTCCCATTTCAAATACTACAGGTACAGGATGAAAACCAAGACACCTTATCGATAGTTAAGCCGTTGTTTGGTTACCAGTTGGAATTCGTAAGGGGTGTTACAGATAGTAGTGACTTAGCAGCCATGTGCAGGCAACTAACCAGTACCCCTTGTGTGATGCTGCCTGGCTAGCCAAACCGTAGTGGGCGGTGAAGGCTTCAAACAGTTGACCTACTAATTAGAAACTAACTATCTAAACCAGTGCACCCTAACCCCTTTGCATCTAAAATTTATGTCCAGTGATATTGCACCATCATTATTAAATTTTAAGTGTTTAAGTTACAATCTGCTAGGCAGGTGCTAATTTTCCAAGCTTTCACTAAGTTATTGCAAATCATTTACTGTCGGAACTACCTGTGTTGTTATATGTGATACTTTTCTGATGTAAAGAACACTCACTTAATTTTTATATGAGAGGACTTTCTGATTGGTCCATGCATCCCACTTGTAACAACAACCACTTCATAAATTCAGACACTTCACTTACTAGTGTGTTTCTCAAAATTGTGCTGTGGTCTGATGTAGTACACATAAATTTAGATGGATTCTGGTTCAGATTTTCTTACAGGTTCATATTAGCTTATTCAAATACTTTAAATGTTTGTAAATGCGTAAAATCTGTATCAAAAAATATGTCCATTACACTCAATTGACTTTATTTGCTAAAATTTAAACTATTTCCGTATTACTCTAAGGTTTTGCTATCATGAGCGATTATCCATCGCTGGAAATTGTCGTATGTGTTTAGTTGAGGTTGAGAAGTCGCTGAAGCCTGTCGCAAGTTGCGCTATGCCAGTAATGCGCGGTATGAGTATCAAAACGGATTCAGAGGTGACCCGTAAAGCACGTGAAGGTGTTATGGAATTTTTACTGGTTAATCACCCTCTGGATTGTCCGATATGCGATCAAGGAGGGGAATGTGATTTACAGGTAATTCAAGTGTTATGCACACCCGAGTTAACTCACTGTTAATATTTTTTGTTTATTTTTCCATTTCATCATACGTCTGGCCAATTAAGTTCATGATTTGGAGTCAACTAAAATGCTCTTACAATGCACAAAAAGCTAATGGTAAGGCAAAATAACCCATTTACTTTACCCCAATATTACGACCGAACAACTGTATAAAAGTTTAGTCATTGAGCGTAAACATTACTGACAAGAAACTAGACATTCCATATTGATTTAGTTATTTGATTTGTACAACCCAATACAAGTGGTGATGGACTCCATTTTAGAAACAGTGAGGAGAATGATTGAAAATAGGTTTAAAATATACTTGATTTCATAAATAACTTCATAATTAACGTTGATAACTTTTGAAATACTTGAATATAGTTACTGCTTACGAGTGAATTTGTTTGTCGTATATTATTATTATTATTAGTCCCTTGGGTTCCTAATCGAACATAGGGCTTCAGTAGCACGTCTCCAGCGAACTCTGTTCGCCGAAATCTTTTGAACCTGGCTCCACGACAGCCCAGAAGCTCTCATTTCCTCCTCGCACGATCTCCTCCATGTCACCCTAGCCTCAGACGCCCAACTCGTCGCTTCCCATGTGGATTCCACTCGAGCAACTGGCTTGACGCGTGATGTCCGCAGTCGGCTTTCTCAGTGTATGCCCAATCCATCTCCACTTCCTTCTACATGTTTGTTGAGCGATAGGTTCTTGATTGGTTCGTTCCCAGAGCTCCTTGTTGCTTATTCTTTCTGGTCATCTGATCTTCAGTAACGAGCCAGCGTAGGCAGTTGTTGATGAATGTCTGTAGTTTATTGGAAATCCCTTTCGTAACGCGCCAAGTCTCTGAACCATATAGAAGCACTGACTTGACGTTGGTGTTGAAAATCCGGATCTTGTTCCGCATGCTGGGCTTAGGACCGGCTAGTAACTAGTGAACTAGTTAACCAGGCGAGGTTTTTGTCGTATATAACACTAACATTTTTAGCGAGAGTGAGGATGTGTCAGCGCACAATTTCAAAGACCTTTATTATCCATTTTTTGACCTAAGTGAAATGTACACACGTGGTTCATCATCTAGTAAACCGTTTTGTCTATTGTTAATTATTGTTTGTACTTTTAACCGCAGATAACCAGTTAGATATCGCAATGCAATCCACTTTGTGTCAAAAGGCAACTGTAGCAATTATCGTAGTGCTGTGAACATGGTTTTGGTGCCGGCTAATATCTAATAGCTAGACACATCCAGACTAAAGAAAACTCATTTTCCTTTCTAAATTTGAACTCACTTCATAAATCGCAGTTAATCACTTGCATTACTAACTCAGTAGGGACTTTCATCGGTTAGTAGCACTTTTCCACTTATCTCTCTGCGGTAATTGACAAGAATGATATATTTTCGCGAAAAGAAGTCATTAATATAGATGTATATAACTATAGAGCAAACTACGCCATCCATTAGTTAGAAGCTAATATAAGGTAGGCTGGAGATGACTGAAATTATTGTAATAGATTGTACATATATGTTTTCCATTTTTTAATTGTTCACCAAATATTAAATGATCCAATATTTAAGAGTTAACCATTTGATGAGAGCTTTTTTACATTGACTGGTCACTGGAAGGTAACCAACTTCAGGTTATCCAGTGCTGAGTGCTGACCAAATTCTACCGATCATTTTGGAATGTGCGTCTTTTACATTAATAACTATGTGTTCTTCTGTTTTAGAATAAAGGTGTAAAGATGAAGAGCTATTCGAAATCTACTTATATGTAACGAGACTTAGCTGTTTGTGTTCTAAGTTGTGGTTTTAAGAGTGCGCCACTGTTCAGGAATGGATTAAGTAAGAATTTTCGATAGGGCAAAGATAGATGGAAAAATCCACCAAACTGAATGTTAATAGTCACACTAGATGAGTTTCTATACTAGTTTTCACGATTACCTTTCCATCTATCGGCTGGTCTGTAGTTCGATATGTTTCAACATTGTATTTTGCTAATCTGTAGTAAGAAACATGTAAACTGTTATCAACTATATATCTGTTTGGTTGTTTTTTGATTATAAAAGGATCAATCAATGAATTTCGGATCAGATCGTTCACGGTTTGTTGATAATCGCTTTACTGGGAAACGGTAAGAGTTTGTTCTTGCTTTTCTTTGATAGTAGTTATTTCTTGTAGACTCCCTATCATTCGGTTCAACGTAGGCTAAAATTAATTTTTTAGTGTAATTCAAGTTGATAGATTTGGGTTGGTTGGTTAAAAGGTAGATTCCACTATAAACCGGTTGAAATTGAGGAACCGACTCAGTAGGAAGCACTGGATAGCCATTTCTCAGTTCTGAGCTTCTCGGTCGTGTGCACACTTAGATTCTCTAAAGCGAATACTCGGGTCATCTAGGTGTCATAGTATAAAAGTCACCACTGAACTCTTTGTTCGGATCTACTAATTTGTATGAATTATTCGATGACATACACATATTAGCTTTGATTAACTGGTCCGATTTCTAATGTTTAAGATTTTATTTCTTAATTTTTTTGGATATAGCAATAAAAATCTTTGTGGGATGATGTGATATCGTTCCGTTTCATGTTGTTATTATTCGTACCTTGGGTTCCTAGTGGAACATAGGGCTGCAGTAGCACGTCTCCATTGCACTCTGCTCTCTGCAGTCTTTTCAACCTGGCTCCACGACTTCCCAGAAGCTTTCATTTCTTCCTCACACGATCTCTCCTCCATGTCACCCTCAGTCTCCCAACTCGTCGTTTCCCCTTTGGGTTCCACTTGAGGGCCTGGCCTGGTGCGTGATGTCCCCGAATGGTCTTCTCAGTGTATGTCCAATCCATCTCCACTTTCTTCTGCTTATTTGTTGGACGATGGGTTCTTGGTTGGTTCGTATACAGCCAGAGTGAGTTCCTAGCTGCTTATTCTTTCTTGCCATCTGATCTTCAGTATCGAGCAAAGGTGGTAGCTGTTGATGATGTATATCTGTACTTTGTTGGAAATTACTTTCGCAGCGCACCAAGTTTCTGGACCATATAGAAGCACTGACTTGACTGAATTGGTGTTGAAAATCTGAATCTTGTTCATCTTTATGCTGGGTGCAGTGCAGTAGATCTCCACAGTGATTTCAGATTAATGTGGTAAGGCCCGTCTTGCTGTCTTTCCGATCTTGGCTGCTTCGATACCCTCATCTGTGCCGCCTGTGGTTAAAACGATGCTACCTTGTCTAGGTAGGTGGAAAAGACTACATCCTTTAGGTTTCTCCTGTTAGTGGTGATTGGTGCTTATTGTTGTTGGTTGGGTATCTTCATCACCTCTGTCTTTTCTACGTTCACTTGAAGTCCCGTCTTCCTTTGCTGCCTCACCTCTTCTACCGATTTGTCAGTTTTACTCTGTATATCTCCAAGTTTCTGCGACAAGACACTAGACATAAATCATCATCGGCGGCGAAATCCAAGTCTTCTAGAGTCTTTTCATCGGTCAAACAGCCTATGCCCCACTTCTGGTTCCTCACAGTTTGTTGCATAATCCAGTCGACCACAATCAGGAAGATCATCGGTGATAGTGGGGGGCAGACTTGTCTTACTCCTGTCTTCACTTCAAAGGCATCACTGAGCTTTCCATTGTGAATCATTTGGCATGTCGCCTCATCATATAGCATATAGCTGGTGTTGAATGAGGTTGATAGGGGTTTGTGGCACTAAAACCGTAGTGTTGAAGCAGTTTCCAAATTACTACTCGGTTGACGCTGTCGAAAGTCGTTTCAAAGTCTAAGAGGTTGTTGTGGAAAGTTGACTGGGATTCGATGCTGTGTTCTATGATGATGCGTAATGTAACGTCGTAATTTGATCCTCACATGATTTGTTCTTCCTGAAGCCAGTCCGCCTGTTCGGTTAGTAATTTTGGATGGAGAGGATTTTTTAGTCTCTGCAGGATGATGTGGCTTAACATTTTGGTTGGCGTGGACAGGAGCATGATTCCGCACCAATTGTTGCAGAGACTTAGGTCTCCCTTCTTTGGGAGTTTGACAAGGTAACCCTTCTTCTAATCAGCAGGTACCTTTCCTATCTCCCAAAACTTCTACAATGGTGATGTAAGCATGTGATATGTTATTTTAATCTGTATTTACATTGATTTAAAAAGCTGAAAACACTTTTATTATGTAGTTGTTTTCATAATTAACTATGAAGTAAGCCATTTAATTTATTAGAGCAATGGTGGAAGCCTTTTAAAACTATACAATGTATTTATGAGCAGAATAAGTAAGGAAATTCATGACAGTTAACCATTGGAAAAATGCTTTTCAAAATTCCTTATGTTTAGAATTAAGATAAAATATGTCCTACAGCTGTTACCGTTATTTGTAAACTTCCTATCGATTCATGGAACTCTAACTAGTAAACACTCGTAGGTGGTGTTACGTTTTCTGAGTTGGTTGATTACGATTCCTGGTTTTCACCTAGCTGTTCTGGGTTTGAGTCTGCGCATGAGAGCCAACACTGTTCAGCTATTCAACCTAAAGAAAGCAATAATAACGAAATCAATCTCTTGGATTACAAATATGCTTTATATCAGTGTGCCGCACCATCGAATGCCGCAATCAAAGTTGAGTGATCAGGTGACAAGTAATTTGCAAGCTGCACAGTTCGCACCAATAAATCTGGACTTTCTGCTTTAGCGGCCTTCAGATACATTTTTGATTGATAGCACTGGCTTAGGGTTTACGGTGATTAGTAATAATAGTGTTTGCAAAATTCTGGGGTGATTAAGGGGGAGATTAGTGTCAGCAATCAAATGTGTTACAAAGTGGTAGTCTTATTTCGTATTAGTTATCATGGTAATGGGGTACTGACATTTGTTCTCCCTTTTTGATTGAGATTTACAGGACCTTGTAGACCAAGAGCCAGACGAAGGTGCAGGTCTTGATACACTAATTCTAGTAACTTCCACTGATTTGTGATTATATGTATCCGATTGAGTTGTATTTTCAGTAAATTTGAGTCATCAGTTGTTCCATTTTAAGGGAATATACGGATTCTCACTGGAATTTATCCTGATGGTATTGGCCCTAGCAAATTAGTTTTAAAAATTCCAGGTAAGTTGATACTTAACTCCATCCTAAAAACAACAGATAACCCAAAGCTTTTCGGGTTGTACTGTAGTATAAAGTTCTCTTAGGTGATTTTGATAGCAAAATGAAACCCAAAGGTGTAATCAGAACCCTGTTGATATTCGAAATATGATTTTAACCTAACAGACGAGTAATAAAATGGTAGAGCGTAACAATAAACGTCTTTTGTAAGTAGTTCATGCAAGTGGACTACGGGTATTATTTGATCACAGTTGCTTTCTTAACTTTCCTCGTGTTCAGCGGTGGTGTTGATCTATACTACACTGGATAGCGGTAGAAAGTTATATGTAAGAAGAAAACCAAGAGGATTAAAATGCTTTATGGGTACTCTACACTTTCCACTTTGATATAGTCAAGCGGGCATTTGGTAGTGATCTGAAAATTACTTATCCATCTGCCATGAATAGTTTCCTATTGGCAGCAATGAATATTTGCTTGAAACCGCAAATGGTGTTGTTTGAAATATTTCGCAGCGGTAGAGACGGACTGATTGTTTCCTTAATTCAAATATTAAATATGTTGTTTTGGTAAATCCTATTTATCATCATCTCTTTTCTTTCTATGTAGTTTATTTTCATTCCCACTTAATTTGTCGATTACATTTTTCTGTTGTGTCATAAATTTAGAGAATAAACCTAGCCTTCTTCTGTGAAAGATTCTAAGTGATGCATTTTTGAGATTTAGAAAAAGACTGATTGAGCGAAGAAATATATTTCTTTTCAATTAGGTCTTCATCTTGAGCTCTGCACTAACATATGGGTTTACAATTTAATCAAATTACCAATCACGTGGTGTTTCGGAAATAATGATGTAAATAACCAACAGAGTTACCAAAATAGGAAATATGAATATTGATAGAAACAAGAAGGGGAAGAGGTGCACAAAATAAACCTAGAAGTTACATCATGTTGACGGCCACGGTTATGAAAATGGGGGCGAACAAACTTCTTTTGGATACAAAGGCTAGGTTTGTGAAGGTGGATTACAATCGCCTCTGCTATGTGAAGTAACCGAGTGCGTAATCCATGAGGTAAATTAATTGGAATCTGATGGATCATTTTGAAGGCTTTTCCAGTAACCACTTGATGTCCAGTGTCAACTAGGTGTGCAAGTATGGAGCTCTTTATTGTTCTAATTCGTCCCTTGTTCAACCATGATGGGTGGCGCTCAGAAATTCGACGATGGAACTACCTCATTGTATGCCCAATGTAACTCGCTTCACAGGAGCAGTTGAATTGATAGATGCGATGAGGCAGTTCCATCGTCGAATTTCTGAGCGCCACCCATCATGGTTGAACAAGGGACGAATTAGAACAATAAAGAGCTTCATACTTGCACACCTAGTTGACACTGGACATCAAGTGGTTACTGGAAAAGCCTTCAAAATGATCCATCAGATTCCAATTAATTTACCTCATGGATTACGCACTCGGTTACTTCACATAGCAGAGGCGATTGTAATCCACCTTCACAAACCTAGCCTTTGTATCCAAAAGAAGTTTGTTCGCCCCCATTTTCATAACCGTGGCCGTCAACATGATGTAACTTCTAGGTTTATTTTGTGCACCTCTTCCCCTTCTTGTTTCTATCAATATTCATATTTCCTATTTTGGTAACTCTGTTGGTTATTTACATCATTATTTCCGAAACACCACGTGATTGGTAATTTGATTAAATTGTAAACCCATATGTTAGTGCAGAGCTCAAGATGAAGACCTAATTGAAAAGAAATATATTTCTTCGCTCAATCAGTCTTTTTTTAAATGTCTGAATGGGAATATTCAATGCATTTTTGAGATGTTTCTTCTCCTTATGAGAAAATTAAATAGAGTCTGTAAGTGCTGTTAAGCGTAAGGAGAGAGATGTATAACTATCGTAATGTATAGTGCTCCCAGTCAATAACTGACGACAAATATTTAATGTTAGCAAGGTTTATAGTGAGAGTTATTTTATTTCATCCACATGATCAACTTTGGGGATAACCTTACCAACTTCTGAGTTATTTTATTTGTTTGGAGATGGTATTATAGAGTCCATCAGTAATCATCTAAAATTTTAAATAAGCAACTGCTACTCATCATTGTGACGTAGTTGGTAGAGTCTCTAACATCACAATTGAGTGGCTATCATTTGTTTTCTAAAAAACGAACACAGTACTTCATGAGCATAAAGAAGTGCACAACATGCTGCAGAATTATTATTATTATTTGTCCCTTGGGTTCCTAATCGAACATAGGGCTTCAGTAGCACGTCTCCAGCGAACTCTGTTCGCCGAAATCTTTTGAACCTGGCTCCACGACAGCCTACAAGCTCCCATTTCCTCCTCACACGATCTCCTCCATGTCACCCTAGCCTCGGACGCCCAACTCGTCGCTTTCCATCTAGCTTCCACTCGACACCCTGGTGTAGCGCGTGATGTCCGCAGTCGGCCTTCTCAGTGTATGCCCTATCCATCTCCACTTCTTTCTGCATATTTGTTGAGCAATAGCTTCTTGATTAGCTCATTCCCAGGGCTCTTTGTTGCTTATTATTTTTGGCCATCTGATCTTCAGTAACGAGCCAGCGTAAGTAGTTGTTGATGAATGTCTGTAGTTTATTGGAAATCCCCTTCGTAACACACAAAGTCTCTCAACAATCACACAGAAGCACTGACTTGACGTTGGTGTTGAAAATCCGGATCTTGTTTCACATGCTGAGTGCAGAAGATCTCCACACTGCTTTCAGGCAAGTAAACGCCTGTCTTGCTTTTCCGATCCTGGCTGCTTTGACGTCCTCTTCTGTGCCTGTGCCACCCGTAGTTGAAACAGTGCTTCCTAGATAGGTGAAGGAGGCTACTTCCTTTAAGTTTCTTCCGTTGATGGTGAATGGAGTTTGTTGTTGTTATTGGTGCGGTATCTTCATCACCTCAGTCTTCTCTATATTCACTTGAAGTCCCGTCTTCGCTGCCCCTTCTGTCAACTTGTTAGTTTTCTCCCGGAGATTTTAAAGTTTGTGTAACATTAGACACAAGTCATTGGCGAAATCCAAGTCTTCTAGGTTCTTTTCCCCTGTCCAGCCAGCGTATCCCCCTCTTCTCGTCCCTCACCGTTTGTTGTAGAATCCAGTCCACTACAATCAGGAATATCATGAGTGATAGCAGACAGCCTTGTTTCACTCCTGTCTTCACTTCAAAAGCATCACTGAGCTTTCAATTGTGAATTACTTGGCTGGCATGTGGCGTCTTCATATAGTTGTTGAATGAGGTTGATAAAGGTATGTGGCATTCCCTAGTGCTGAAGCAACTACTAAATTACTTCTCAGTCGACGCTGTCAAAGGCCTTCTCAAAGTCGATGAAGTTGAGGTAGAGAGCTGACTGCCATTCTATGCCGTGTTCTATGATGATGCGAAGCGTAGCAATTTGGTCCGCACATGATTTGTACTTCCTGAATCCAGCCAGCTTGTTCGGGAGGTAGTTTTGAATCCAGTGCATCCTTTATTCTCTCCAGGATGCTGCTGCTTAATATTTTGCTTGACGTGGACAGGAGAGTGATTCCTCGCCAGTTCTTGCAAACACTGAGGCCTCCCTTCTTTGGGAGTTTGACAAGGTAGCCCTTCTTCCAATCAATGGGCAGGTACCTTCCCTTCCTTCCATACCTTCTGCAATAGTGGTGTGAGCATGTCCGCTGTTGTCTCTGCGTCTGTTCTCAGTGCTTCTGGCGGGATTCCATCTGGTCCTGGTGCTTTCTCACATTTCAGTAGCTTTATGGCGTTCAGGACTTCCACTTTTGTTGGAGGATTTATGTTCATTCATAGTTCAGCGGCTGCAGGTGGTGTTTCTGGACGAAGTGCAGGTGGTAGTGGTGGTCGATTCAAGAGCTTCTTGAAGTGGTCAGCCCATTGTTTCCTTTGTTTCTCTTCTTTGGTAATTATATTTCCGTCATCATCTTTTATTGGTTTCATGTATGTTGATCTCTTCCCTTCCAGATAGTAACCTGGTTATTTGATATAATGTTTTCAGATCTTTGTCTCTCCTACGTGCAGCCTGTTCTGCTTCACTTGCAAGTGTTTTGTAGAAGTGTGTTTTGTCTTTGTGTGCACTCTTCTTCACTCCTTAGTCCAGTGTAGTGTCTTATACGTTGCACTCAGTTCCTCTTGTCGCTGAGCATCCATGCACTGGTTTAAATTCTGCTTCACCATCCTCCTCTCCTCTATCAGCTCCGATGTATCCATCAAGATCCATTCATTATCTTCCTTCTTCTTCCTTCCTAATTCGGTTGTGCAGGTTTCTTTCCACATCTCTTTCAAAGACTTCCAGTGTTCTTCCACACAGGTTTCTTCAGGGATGTTGCTCGATATCCCCCACTTTGTCTTGATGGCTGACGTGAAGCTTTCCTTTGTAGTTTCATCCTCCAGTTTCCGAGTGTTGTACTTGAACTGAGGTCTATCACCAGCTTCCTTGAAGGCTTTTAACTTGATTTGGAAGGTGGAATCCTTGCACTAGATAGTGATTGGTGTGAACCTACGTCTGCTCCTCTTCTTGACCTTGTATCAAGTAGACTGCGTCTCCACTTTCTTGAGATTTAGATAAAGTCGATCTGATTTTTAGTGTAGTGTGTCCTGGTGTCTGGTGACATCCATGTCGCTCGCTTTGTGGATATCCTTGTGCTTGAACACTGCCTCCAATCACCAAATCGTTGAATTCACAGAATTCTGCAAACAATTCTCCATTCTCGTTCATCACCTCACCGAGCGCTTCTCGACCCATGATGAGCTCTCTTCCTGTGTTGTCCCCTCCCAGTCTGGCATTCATGTCACCCCACCCATTAGAATTTTGATATCGCCAATTGACTCAGTGTCTTGTCCAGTGTTGATTGCAGTTGTCTGTAGACTTCCTCCTTTTTCTCTTGATCTGCATTATTTGTAGGTGCATAGTGGAGCATTGTATGATTGTGGCTTTCCTTCCTTTTGAGTTGAACCTTGCTATCATGATCCTACAGGAGGAGATTAGTTCCCACTGCATGAGAGCCTCCGATGCTCTTGGAAACATCATGCTGCAGAATACTGTTTATATATATATATATATATATATATATATATATATATATATATATATATATATATATATATATATATAGTTTCTTATCAATAGCATGTTTACTTTCATTTTTAAGATATCATCTACTGCGTGCTAGAAAATTATGTTTTTTTTCTGCCTAACACTTGCTAGTGGGTAAAACCCTGTGTATTTATGTCTATTTTTCATTTCACTTCTCTTCGTTTAGTGCTGTAGAAGACAAAAATCTTGGACCTTTAATTAAAACTATTATGACTCGTTGCATACACTGTACAAGATGTGTAAGGTAATTTCTAAGGATTATGTAATTTATACACTTTTGTAATATACCTAAAATTGTATTGTTAACCTGGTCATTTACTGAGTATGAAATTATAGAAAGTTTATTCTTATAACTATTTGTTGTGTGGATTTGTGGCTCAGTGGCGTAGACACGCAAGTTTCAACCGGTAAGTCATTAATTCGAACCCTGCCCCAACTGCTGTAGTTTTGGCAAGCTTAACATAATATCATCACCCCCATACAATGTGTGAGATTATTGGCTTATTACATGAACCTGGACTTGATTGCTGAGGTGAATTAAATAAAACCTCAAATATTTTAAATGTTACTGTTGCCATTGTTGTTGTGATTACGACATCACGGTCTGTGTCATCAATCACGAAATCGTTGACATGAGCTAGTTAGCTGTCTTATGCTTCGAAGAAGACCAAATTTTCCGGTAGTCGTAGGATGCAGACAAAGTAGAAATGGCATTCTAGATAGGAAAATAACTGCTGTAAGCTATTTCAGATAACTTTTAAAATGTTCAGTCAAGAGTGTTTAACAATAAAGGCATTGCTGTCTAGTATTTGCTTGAACAAATTGACAAAATAGTGTAACCAGTAAAATGACTTTTAAACAACTTTTTCTACCCAAGACAGAAATTTTTGTATTCTGTTCATTAGTAATAATTAAACTATGACCGAATGGGGAAGGCACCTTCTGTTAAAAGAGTGCAACTCAATCACCACTTTAAACAGCACACCTAGAAATGTGATTGCTTCGAAGCTACTCGCTTATTCTCTTATACAAGTGGAAAATATGAATTTTCCTCATACCTGCCTTTTCGATAGGTTCATCCGATGATTGTAGGTTTCTATAATTCTGCCTATTGAATGGCGTTCTGCTCTGCAAAATAAATTATTCTTTTGTTTATGCATCCTCGTAATCAGATTGCATCATCTTTGCACCTTAGTAAACAGTTTACTGTTATTCTGTTGATTCTTACAAGTTCTAGGTCCCATCCAAACCCCTAAATGTGCAGTGGATGGACAACAACAGCACGAAGTTTTGAAAAAGCTTTGTAGATAAGCAGTTCGTATTGAATCAGGTCACTTCAGACCTGTTTTCTAATTTAGCCCTTCCTTCACACAACAAGTACTTGTACAGTTGATCAGATATTAATTTCTCATACTCATTCTTCCTATTATTTTTGTCGTTATTAACATGTTGTGGAAAAATAAAGTGAAAGAATAAAATGCAGTTCAGTAACCCCGTATGCATTCGTCAAGTGAACCACGAACCACATATATATTAGGAGAGCGATCGATACATATTCATGCATTAGGCAATTGGCTACCGTGTTGTTTGATGAGTAACGTTACCACTTGCCTGCTCAGATCTCGGTAGGTGGTTTGGGGTTGGGGCCGTGATCCACTAGTTGAAAACCGACTTCTTAAACCAATGAACCACAGCTCTATCTTCCATGGAATTCACTGATGAATAAACTAAGAGAGGTTTTCAAACTACTAACTCAGTCTTATGTAGTTTTATTATGGACTGACATCAGTCGAAGAACAGTTGAAAAATTGGGAAAACTGTATAACTTGTTCTTGTTTAGTGCTCCATAGCAGTGTGCTCCCGTAACCCCGTGAAGGATCGAGTTCAGAGTTGATGGTTCTCTCTCCAAGCACACTATCATTCAGGCTCTGAATTAGGATATCATAGTTGGAACTATCAGATATTTGTCAATCTGTGATGTAGCACCGCCATCACCCAGTCTCATCAGGAGTATTTATCCCGATACGTTACCTTGTGAATGCCAAAGACTTTTCATGAGAACTTTGAAAGATGCATCTCGCTATAAGTCACTAATGAGAATTGCACTGTGATTAGAGACTGCAGTAAACTAGCGGTTTACGATTATTTGATGATTGATGCTATCAGTTAATTATAATTACTGTGCAGTAAAAACGGGTCGTTGGATAAAGAAGTGAAATACTACTTTAAGATAATTGATCCATCAAGAAAAACCATTTATGTAAGCGATAATGTTGGCGATTATCTCTGTTTGTTACACTTTGCTCTTTTGATATCCTTCTGTCTAGTCTAAATACAGTGGGGACAACGTTTAAGATGACAAAAGATATTAGGAAATGGGGTCCATTGAATTGATTTTATTTACGAATAATATCAAAGTGTCCCATTCGCAATGAGTGCTGTAGTCATCTGCCGTCTAAACCCTTTTGGCTTAACAAGTCAGCATTACTAATCACGACGGTTGATTCATGACTGGATACCTCCTTCACCAGTATAAAATGAGCTTACTCTAAGATTAACTGTAATGCTGAAAACCCGTTGTAGCAGTGCAAATGCATCCCCTTTTTGTCGTTCTTGAAATAAGAAACATTTTATTATTCACTACCTGTCATTATTTGTTCGTTTTTCTTCTCTTAATGTTTACGTTAAGTGATGACAGTTAACTTACAGTCAGTAGGTCTGTATTAGAGCCTCACCCAAAGTACCGGAGTCTTAGCGGTCAGGTAGTATTGGCTGTCTTTACGCTGTAGGTCGAGCTCGTTGTCTGGTGCACGAATTTTTACACAGCTACTGTATCACATAAATATACAGCCTCGTTATTTGCCATCATTGATTGCATATCTTCCACCTTTTATTTTCCTATGGATTGATTTACCTTCGCTACGATATTGCCAACTTGAACTAACACTTAATGGTTCCGGTTCATATTTTGCTTCTGAGACTGTATGTTTTTCCGTTTGTTTATCGACTGCACTTTCCTAATTTCTCTTTGGAAACCAAATCGTAGTTAGTTACAATAATTTTTTTAGTTCAGGGGTAAACGTTTTGTAGAAAACTAAAGCTATTTCAAGGTTTTTAACCGTGATTCTTTATGCAATTCATCTTTGTGAAGTATATATTTTATCTTTGATTTGTTTTTAGATTCGCTAATGAAGTAGCTGGTGTGCCTGATCTTGGTACAACTGGTCGTGGAAGTTCTCTTCAGATTGGTACATATATTGACAAACCATTTTTCAGTGAACTGTCTGGTAATGTCATTGATTTATGTCCTGTCGGAGCTCTAACTTCTAAGCCATACGCATTTACAGCACGACCTTGGGAGACACGGCGTATTGAGTCAATTGATGTAATGGATGCAATTGGAGCAAATATTGTGGTCTCTATGCGTACAAATCAAGTGTTAAGGATTATTCCGAGGTTGAACGAAGTTAGTTATTTCTTAAAAGCTTTATATATATATATATATATATATATATATATATATATATATATATATATATATATATATATATAGTAGTTGTTGCACATTTACGTAATGCAGCTTTAAACGGAAATAATAGTTTCCCTAGGGACCATCAACATCTTGAATGCTTTGTACAAAAACATCTCAGGTTGCGTAAAAACATATAACCACTTATCCATATTACCATTTCTGTTAGTGAAGGCACAGTTTTCCGATTTCAGCTTCGTCATTCGTGACATTCTTGAGACACTTTCGAGTGAGATGCATGGTGGTGTAGTGTGTGGAGCTATGGCTCACTTAGTTAATTAACTTTCAACAGCTGGATCACAGGTCACCGCTGCACCTACTGAGGTTTCAGAATCGGAGAAGTATCACTAGCCTTCACGCAATGGGTATGTCTCATTGCTTACTACACGAATGTACAGAAGGTTGCTGAGTACATTTCTTTTCACGTAATAATGTAGATCTGTGATCAGGAAAAAGGCTCTTCGATCCCTGCACAAACGATGTCGTTACGACGAACTGAAAATGTTTAAAAAGTGGTTTGCTATTTTGATCACTGTATCTTTCTTTCATTATGTACGTTGGCAAACAAAGGATATTTCCAAAGGGTCTGTCGGCTTTAATTATTAAAGACCGTTTCATCCAGGAAAGTGAAAATAAGTTTCTTTCATACCTGTTCACTCTTCAGATGTACAAACAGAAGCAATGTAGAGCCTACTTTGAATATAGTGGTGACTATAAGCTTATAGTCTTTAATGTTTTTCAATTCCCATTGATTGTATCTCAGTTGTACAGTAAGATTGAACAATGCAGATGCCTAGTAGACTCAAACCTTTTTAAATATTCAGAAATCCTACGTTATCTACTGATGGTTTAAATGTTTGAAAGCCACAAGAAACTTGCGTATCTTTGATATCAGTCTATTAAAGGTTATATAATTTTACAGATAATTAAGGTCGTCAACACACTCAATCACTTCACTGTCTCGTGCATTGAGAAAGGTATGCCAGGAACTCTATTCTCACTAGGCGTTCAGCAGATTGAAACTGACCACCAATTGAAATAATTCTGTTATTTATCTACCGTATGTCGTTTGGTTCGGGACGCGACGGAACTAACCACTGAACAGTTATCTTGCAAACAACATAAAATAGATAACCGACAACTTCGCAGCAGTTCAAACCACCAGTCATACACTTCATGAAATGGTATATGCCTTGTTCTTAGAGCAGTTAGGTTCTCATGATGAGTTATAAACTAATCATTCCAGTGAAAAGTGGGAATTATTTTCATGGTTATGGGTAAATTTTGCACGGTCAAAAGTTCCTACCATTTTACGAACAGCTCATCAACGACACTCCTACTTTATGCAATAATTGTTTGCTTACTTCTGAGTAGGTAATCTTACATGCTTGAAAAAACCGTTTACTTTTACTGAATACGAATTTGAAACAAAAGGCTACCTCATTTGGTGTCTAGTTTTTGCGTATATTTCTCGAACTACTTTGTAATACATAATACGGCGGAGTTTTCGTTACTGGATGCCTGTACCAACACAGGATGCATGCCATATCTTCATTTTTACTTTGTGAATTTTATTATCACATTTCTTACTGTTTTACAACTGCTAATGATTTCACTATTTTTTGTTGCCGCCTTTCCTTCGATAGGATTTCCCTTCGATGTGAAGTGTAGCATCTTGAACCGTTACAGTGTTATATCATGTCCTGTATTATTTATGTTTGTCACTTACCAGTAGATCATTGCTGCACAAATATCTTTTTTTAAATCAGTCGTTTCCTATCATGTTTCATTCTGCTTAGGATGTGAATGAAGAATGGCTTGCTGATAAATCTAGATTTTCTTACGATGGTTTGAGCAGACAGCGTTTAGTAATCCCATTGGTACGAGAGTCTGGAAAGTTGATCAACAGTTCCTGGGAAGATGCTTTGGTCAAAACTACTGATAAATTACTCACTTTGTATCAACCGTCTGACGAAATGATACCCGTAGCAAACCAAGTGGCTGGCCTTGTTGGTCCATTTGTGGATGCAGAAGCAATGACAGCTTTGAAAGACTTAGTTAACCGATTCAACTCAGAGTTGGTTTGCACTGAAGAAAGTTTCCCAAGTGATAGGTAACTTTCCAGTTCCGTCTAATAGTTGATTCTTAGATTTTGAAGTGAAAGCGTTTCTTATCCAGAAACATGTTATTTCTGTTCGTAATTAACTTCATCCCCAATATACTTTGTTTTAAATGATTTTATAGCCTTATATCGCTTAGAACTACCAATGAGTTCTGATTTAAATACTAATTAATTCTATTCCTCCTCGTGTTTTTGCACTCTCTGCTTAATGATTCCCCATATATAAAAGTTCACTTGTTTGCAGTTTACATTGAAGACTGTAGTTGCGCCTTATTGTTACATTTACTAAGTTTGATCATGTTTTGGCTTGCTGACTCTAAAAGACAGAAAAGTACGACAATCAATATGAAACCTTACAATGATGCGTTTCCGCCCAGATTATCACATCTCACAACATCACAGGAAGGAGAAGTGAGTGGGAATTTGAAACTAAGGTATGTATGTCTACAAGAGCGGAGTCACCCGTGTTGTCTTCAGTAATTTTCGGTTTGTTGTTGAAGAAATATCAAAATTGTGTTCTATTAGGAAGGAACAAGCAAGACAGTATATGGATTGTGTATAGTACTATTTCGAAGGGATCGATCTATGCATTTTTCATAAGAGCGCTTGCTAAGTATTTTGTGTTTCATATTAATTTGTAGTTATAGTTGTGAAGTGGCATCCAAGTCATTAATTATTTTACATATAAGGTAGTTGGTTAAATGCAAGTCTGACGTTCATTTTTCTAACTAAAATCCTTCAGATAACTCTAAGAGTAACACTGAACCACCCTCAATGTTCTTCGGTATTAAAGATTATCGTATGTAGAGCATATTAATTAACAGTGAATGAGTATAGCCAAACGTTTTTCTGAAATCTGTGTGTCTGAGTGGGTCGGTTGATCTAAGGGCCTCTTCAATTTTGGATTTGTTCATAATTCAACTTGAAATTTTTAAAAACGTATCGTGCGTGATGGAACTGCTATATGAGCAGGGGTGAGGCTAGGCGTGGAGTACTATGCATTGAGGGTGAGTCAATGAAGTCGTTAACCTTCACTGGTTGAACTAGCTTGGATAAATGTCGCCCATGCTGAGCTACTGCCTACCTAAATTCACGATGATAACAAAAGTAGGATTAATGTGATCAAATGAAGGATATAGTGCCAGTCAGTGTAATCTTCGATTTTTGGTCTGAGCATTATGATGAGCTGTAGGTTATCTGAATGAAGTCCTTTACATAATAGGAATAAATGGTGCAAATCAGTCATCACAGTGTATATGTATATACTATCTCTGGTCTTCGTAACTTTGGGTATCTTCAATAACCGTGATCTGATGGTCCCCCTCTCCTGTCGTATGCTTGAATTCTTTGAAGTTATTTTCCTATTCATTTCTGTGCATGCTACCGTGAAGTATAGCAACTTAAACCGATGCACGTTTATGCAGTGTTCTACATTGCTTTATTGTCTTACTTGGCTCGTAAGCTATATTGGATGGATGATGATGAAGAGAAAGCCATTTCATGAATTGGATATTTATCTATAAAATAAAATTCAACAGTATCCTTTATGTAGATTCTGCGCTTCACTTCTATGTAGTATAATCATTACTCTGCGTTCTGTAAAAAAAGTATTTCAAACACGTGGTATTCCAGTATTTCAGGAATAAAGAACTTCATTATCTAATTGCCTTTTTCGGAAATGACTATTAGCAAACTAAGAAACGTGCCCCTTCTGTTACCACTGAATCTGATTTTCACTATTAGTATTGACTAATGACAGTCACTTAACAAATAATGTACTTGATATCAGTGATTGATAGTGACTAGAAGCGGAGTCCAGGACGCGTGTTTCATGCTATTTGAGACTCGTCAGCTGGATGTCACCGCCTCCCAGTGAGTAATATTTTTCCCATTTAGGCTCTAACCTCAGGACTGGTCGTTTCAAACGACATAGCGTTCTCCACTAGGTCACCGGGTTACAATAGCCACTCTTTGTGCGGTGAGTACAGCTTTGGAGTTATAGCTTGTAACTTCCCGTCATTAGTTGGATGGAATTGATCGCCCATTCACTGGGAGATAGGTACATCCAGTTGACGTATACCGAGAAGTACGAAATACACGTTCTGGATTCCACTGCTAGCCAATATCCATCATTAATATCAAACTGAAAGTACTAGCAATATCGATATATCCACATACTAATAGTGCCCGGTTACTTCGATGCAATCAACGATGGGAAATTACAGTCTATATCATCTAAATAGTTTATTTGTTTTTCATATTGTACCTTGATACTAGGGATGATTAAAGGTGATGTGGAAATTTGGGTCACGGCAGAATTCGGAGTGAGACAAAAATCTGGTCAACAGTCAAGTCTCGTAGCTCAGTTGGTAATGCACTGAGCTGGAAATTTTGGCGGTCGCTGGTTTGAATTTAATTTCACCTTTAGTCATCGCCCATTATCAATATATTATATAAACTGCACCTGTCTCTTGTAGTCAAACTAATATTATACTTTAACAATAAATCATTAACAAATCATTAGCATAATTAGAAGGCAGGCAGTATCGAGGCATCCGTAAAGGACCCCATATGCCAATAGAGACCGATCAATTCGGTCCAATCAACGACGGTATGATATAAAAACAATTATACTAAAACTGTAGACTGGTTACATATAAATCAATCGACGTGTTATTTAATGACTTCGACTATTATTGTCACTGTATATTTTGAAGGAAAACAATGATTTCTATCAAAAAGGATTGTTTTATTTCCTCTCTGTTCCAATCTTGTTTCCAAGTTAGTTGAACGAACCAGGATTTAATTGCATATCATTAAATTTTGTTTCTTGTTTCACTAAGTGAAGTACTTTCAGTGGATAAAATGATGTTTTATATAGGCTTTTATCAATCATTTCAGTACAAAAGAATCCAGATTTGTTCACATTGAGAACATCATTTCTCTATCCTGTATATATAAGTGTTGCATCATTGTATATGAACCATTTTTAATCTACAAAATTTTGTTTTCAAATTCTGCTCAGCGTGGATCTTCGTTCCAACTACCTATTCAATAGTCATATTGCTGGCGTTGAAGATGCTGATCTCGTATTATTAATTGGCACCAATCCACGATATGAAGCACCTTTGCTTAATGCACGATTACGTAAATGTTGGGTTCATAATGACTTGGAAATTGTATCATTGGGACCGAAAGTTGATTTGACTTACGATTATGAAGTGAGAGTTTATGCTTAATTTATTTGTGTATTGTTATCATTGTGTAACTGTAGTGTAGTTCCATCTAACGGTTAGGTAATATTATGTAGTAAGGCTCAGTAGATTGTTGTACTGCGATGAAACTTTGAATTGCGGTGTAGATAAATGGAATCAGTAGGATATGGATTCTTTATATGTATATGCTTTTTTTAAAAGTTGAAAACTAGTTTTGCATCTTTATTCAGAAGGGAACTAACGAGTAATTGGTAACTAACTGTCTGAGGATAGGAAATTTCCTCATTCTAGGATATTAACTTTATATAGATAGCCGAAGAGCTCTAATTAAAGAACCCAGGTTCATTTCAAAAAATTCACACCTAAAAAGATTCATCTGATAATTGCTGACGCGCACTCCAGGTGGTCAGACGTTCACCACATGCTACAAAGTACAACCAAAGCTTCATTCACAATGCTATCGTATTTTTTAGTTGTTTCAATGTTACAAAAACTTTGATGACGGGTGGTGTCAGTCAGTCAATATCAACATGGTACCTGGCATTACTGTGTAGCAGTTCAAGTTGTCACACCTCATATCGCTACATCAAGGTAAAAGGCACACAGATTAAAGATAAAAGATAGAACTTGGTAGTCAAAAAGGTAGAAAGTCGTGAAAAGAGAACAAGGAGGAATAAAACAATAACGAACTTCAGCATGACGATTTGGATGAAGATAATGTGTGAATGCGTCTGCACGATTGAGATTCTCAGTGAGTTATTATCATCTAGAGTCTTCAACCACCGGTTTCTCTCGTCACTTGGACCCGAACCGGGAAATTTACCTTTCCCTAAGTTGGTCAGACCCATAGTCAGAGACTTTATGGACTGACACCATATTTCAGTCTGGTCCCCCCAACCTTTTTCAAGTCTGAACCTGTATTTGTAAAATCCCAGTGAGCTATAAAAATATATTTCTAATGTTTCGCGACTTATACTGGTTTTATTCGCTAAAGAAACGGCTTCCTCGACATCACGAAGCGTCAAAAATTAGTTTTTCTACCTCATTGAGGCTTTACAAATATATTTCCTTCAAACAAGAATAGTTTTGTAGATGATAGTAATATTTTCCACTGGTTCAATTTGCTTTAAACAGGCATTACCGTTTCTTTTTTACTCTAGGGATTGTGTTCATAGTCTTTTAGATGTCTTGCCTAAGTGAGTCTGAGCGTGTGTATTTCTTTTAAAAAAATATTTTAGCATCTCGGTGATCAACTTGAAGCTCTACAGCTGTTAGCTACTGGGAAACACCCACTGAATGAGGTAAGTTTTGTTCACATTTATTATTGACTTAATTGTTTACAGAAAACCTTGATGTAGCAAACCCCATATATACTGACATGTTATTTTTACTGAAAGGAATCTCGTATTGCGATCAGGTTCAAATCAGCAGCCATTCAGATACCTATATAATTCTTTGCGGATGTTTAATAAACTTTACTACCATTCAGAATTCATTTGTAATCTAGTTGAAAACTCTCAGGTGATCGATCAGAATCTGAAATGTTCAGTATCAACGATCCTACAGGAGGCTCTAAACATTAAGTAGTCGATTAACAAGCGAAGCTTAGTTATTTGAACTGAAGGGTTTGTTCTTTGAGCTGGAGTCTTGGATGATATGCATTTCAGCATTATTTTAACATCACCATTATCATTGTTTCTTGATCAACTAATGTCTTGGTGTGATTGTGCAATATCACTGACGATTTTACCTGATAGATTGACTTGCAATTAGAAACTTGTGTTCAGCGTAACTGGCCAATATTTTATTTCCTCTAAAGGTTATACTCATCAGACTGAATTGTGATTTTCGTTTTTAACTGAAACAAGAGTTTTCCCATATTTATATTGCTTGGGTTTTTTGCCGAATGGTTTAGTGTATTAGTTTGTTGCTGCTTATAAGCTTCTTATATAGACTCAGACCTTCATATCGGTAGCTGTCACACAAATTAGGCTATATGTAGTACACCATAGTGCTATGTGACAAACTAGTGACCACTTGACATTCCTTAAGAGATAAGTATTCATCACTAGTTGGGATCAAATTAATACCAGGCATAATGTCTAATTAATTACTCAAGTATCTATGTGTACACTTTTACATCCATTGTGACAATCAGTTCCTTCTTGTTTTGTAACTTTTTCATATTTACCTTCTCCATTGAAGCGTCTAAATTCTTCATCTCATCCAATAATAATTTTGGGTAGTGAGTGTTTGCAACGTTCAGATGCAAAGGCTATTCATAATGCTGTACGTCATATTGCTGCTAATCTCAAAAAGTCTAAAAAATTAGACTATCAAGTGTTCAACATTCTTCATCGTGTAAGTTTTCGGATGTCAATATGTGATTCTGTTTATCTTCTAATTCTTTCTTTTTCTCCAGGTAAATTAGGTCTTTAGTTATTTCACAACTCGAAATAGTTCTTACTGGTGTCTTTTTTAAGCTGTCAAACTTTATATGTCGGTGATGCGTAGCCCTGTTTGAGATACTCAACTTTCAACTAGTTATCACAGGTTCTAAATTCACTCCATTTATCAACATTTAAACAGCTGGGTAACATCATCAACCCTTAGACCATTTTTGTGGTTCCTAACCTAGTGCATCAACTAGCGCAGTTTCCTGGAAAATTCGACTTCCAAAGGATCGAAAACAGTAAACCTCTTAAAACTAACCTTAAAGTTGTGATTGGCTTTAAATGACTGTGAGTTGTAACCTGTGCTCTGATCATCGTCTAGTAACTAATACGATTTCACTGTGTGGTGCACCTAATAAAACAACCGAAATGATGGTTAGTGATAACCTTCCTCTTTTATAACCTTTGTAGATCGGTAATACTTGGGGCGACATACTGCATGTGAGAGGGGTGTACCATATTTGTTGAGAATAGACAAGGAAACAGAGATTCATTTTGCACTTTACATACGGATAAACATTTCAGCTAATATTTTGACATTAAATGTCAGTTTATTGTCTTAAAAAGCATTAGAGCCCACAGAAGACAAACAAAATCAGTGTTATTTTTCGATACATAACTGTATCGATAACAGTAATCGGTACACTTTGCCTCTATACTTTTGGTTATTCACTTAGCCTAAACAGGATCTTTCGACGATAGACATTGCACAAAATAAGTTGACAATGATGCGGAAATATTAGAAGAGTATAGTCATAACAGTTTTAAAAGAAGGTAACAAATAAAGACACAATTGAGGATGATTTATTTGAAATTCATATTCCGTCTAGAAGAAAGAATGTCCCCGTGTTGTTGCCATTACTTTTTCTCTCAGTTATATGTGATAATATCCAAAGTCAGTTAGCCAATATGATACCACAAATTCTAGTTAGGAGGTAGAGCGATTCAGTCACAGTTGACGAATCTACACCTTACTACGTGGGTTCACATGAAAGACTAGTAGGCTTTTCACTTCTGTCAGTTTTAACTTCAACAAAAGCTGCTCCATATAGAAACCACCGTGTTTTCATGCTTAGGTGATCTCAAAGTCTTTAAAAGTAATATTGTGAGACACCTTAAATGATTGGATAGTCATATTCAGTATATCCGATCGACCTACTCTGTCACATCAGTCGTACTGAGGTAGGCAAGATGTGGCGGGCACCGGAGTTTTTCAATCTCATAAACTTGAAATCAGTTAGTTCCTTTGGTTTCTAGCAGCCGCTTAGCACTAATAAATGGTAGTCACATTTCGATGGTTTTTATAACTGATTGTTTCGATTTTGGAATTTTTTATGAGTTGTAATATTCTCTGTCTGAATATATCAGTTTAGTCTCGATGAATTTCTGGAGTGTACTTATATTTCAATAGATACATTTTTATGTAAAATCCGATTATGGTGGAGGATACTAGATAATCAGATACTCAGAAACCCCCTTTGTCGTGGACCTCTACAAAAAGTGATTGTTTGGAGCATCTTTTAATCCCATGTTGATCTTATTCATACTAAAACTTTTTTTCATCTTCGAGACCAATTTACCTTTTATGCCACTTTTTTTATACTGTCCATGTGTTTTAGATTGTTCTAGGCTAACCACATTTGAACTAAATAAACTTTGATTGCTGTGTGTACTGTATAGGATAATTTTATGTTAAGTAACTTGAAAAACTTCAATACATCCGTCTGATGTGTTTTGTCAGTCAGATGCCGGGTAATCGACATAGAACATCAAATGTATGTCTTGAAATTTTTCATTATTACTAACAAATAATTTTATATGCTTAAAACTAATAGGTTATCCTGGTAAAATAATCAGTTTTATGCATAACACTCAATATATTCTATCAGCAATTAGTAGTACTTAACACTTAGTTGTTTCACTTTTAGCACTGTTTATTTATATTTTTATTTACATCTTATCACAATGATATTTATCGTTTGAAATATTCATGTTTTATTCATGTTCAGTATGCCAGTCAAGTTGCTGCTCTAGATTTAGGCTACACACCTGGCTGTGAACTTATCAAAAAAGCCAAGCCAAAAATTCTTTTCCTTTTGGGTGCTGATCGAAGTTTAATTACACGTCAAGATTTGGCACCGGATAGTATGATCATATATGTTGGTAAGTTGTGTAATACTAAATGGAAATTGTAGCTCTTTTGTAAATACTTTTCATTGGATAGTGGAACCACAATCTTTTCCAGTCTTTCCAATTACCCCCACTAGTCTGTTGGTATGAGCCTGCTACTCATTTTTAGCAGACTGTCTATTCAGTGTGCAGAGTACTTTTTTAGGGCAACATAACCTGGTTATCCTATCGTACATGGCAACTTTTTACTGTTGAAAGTATATAATTCAGCGACTATGTAGAGTTTCATGCACTAAGTAGTATTGTATAATGAGAGCTTGTGACACTACCGTGTTGTCCCAAATCTTGGCACATGGACCAGGTTTTTGAATCCTTAATCCATTGGCCTGAGAATCAATCACCTAGACCGTTGAGTAATGGCTTCAAATCTTTTAAATATATTATCACCCACTGTTATTGCTTGTATTATACCGTCGTTGATTAAACCGAACTGATCGGTCTCTATTAGCATATAGTCCAATCAACGACGGTATAATACAAGCAATAACACTAAAACTATACCCGTTGCACAAGAAGTGGCTATAGTGGATCGGTGGTCTAGTGGATCACGCACTGGCGTTTGGAGCGAACGGTCCCGAGTTCGAGTCTCGGTGGGTACAACATCACTCACTGGGATGCAGCTGCGTCCAGCCGACGAGTTCCAAACAGATCGAGAAGCGCGTCTTGGATTCCGCTGCTAGACACTCTCCCATCAATAGCATATATTATTACTCAGTTGTTATGTAAACCTGTTTTCTTTCCTAGTACTAACTATCAGTTATAATCATATTTCAGGTTTGTATTTATCACAGACTAGCATCAATTGAAAAACCACTGGAAACCTGGGAGCACTGGACAGCTGTTTCGTCTTAGTATGGGACAGCAGTGCGCACCCATGACCCTGCCAGGGGTCGCACCCAAGACATTCAGGTTCCATAGTCACTACGTTACCATTGGACCAATAGTTTATATTTCCTACTTTTGTCAGTTCACGATAAAGCATTGTTTTTCATTTTGTTCACCAATAATAAATTCACTGAGGTTGTGAAAATTTACATACTGTCATCCAATTCCTGTCGATAATATCTTAAAGATAAATTTTCGCGCGACTGAGAAAACTGTGTTTGAAATACTGACTTCATATTACTAAAGAAGGACTTACCCTATTAGTAATCTTATTGGCTAGATATTGCGAAATAACGCGTTGTTGAACATTTAGGTTATTTTTAATAATTATAAGTTTTTAGATTGAGAAACTGTATTTCTAAACTGAGCATCGATGAAGTGTGTGTGTATACGTAGACATAAATTATTGCAATGAAACTCACACTTGTGCAAGTTAAGAAATGACTTTGTTCTTGGTGTTTTACGCACAGTTTGCTTCCCTCTAATTCCCAGAAGCAATAAACTTAGTCGTATGCTTATTATATAACATGGAATTATTGTGAGCTGGTTGATTTCCACTGAATTATTCTCTTTCGCTTATCATTATAGGTCACCATGGAGATGCGGGTGCAACGATGGCTGATATTGTTTTGCCTGCATCTGCTTACACTGAAAAAGACTCTATCTACGCTAATACGGAGGGACGTGCTCAACAAACTCGACTAGCTGTTGTTCCACCAGGATTAGGTAGAGAAGATTGGAAGATATTCCGTGCCATCGCTGAAGTGGCTGGTGTCACTTTGCCATATGATACTTTGGACCAACTTCGTGTTCGGATTGGAGAAATTGCTCCTGGACTTTTGAATTTCAATACAGTCCAACCACCTCTAGAAGAAGTACAAATACTGGCTGACAATTTTTCCAAAGTGAGTACTGTAATATATGTTGCTAAAGTTTGTAATTTACTCAGCCTATTCGGTTTTGTGAACTGATGAACATTTGATGGTAAGTAGACTCATTCTATGTCTATTTTGAGTGAGAAAATCGACAATCAGGTGCAACCGACCGACAAGTAACTAGTACGAGACATTGGTCTAAACTCTCTATACAAAAACAACTCAGTGTACTTATTTGGTTATATATTTGAGTTGTAACTGTACCAAACAGTTCTTATATGTGCCGTCTGGTTCGAACTTTTGTCTGTATAAACGGAAGTTAGATTACTTTTGTATAATTTTTCTTTATTTGCAGTTTTCAGAGTTGTATTTTTGCTCGGATCTTCTTCATTATTCCGATAGAACTTACCAAACCAACTAATGAGATGTTGATTCTTGAAGGCCTAAGGAAATCTAAAAGTTGGATAGATTTAAAGCCATGCAGACGAATGGTATCAACATAGGACCAGTCATTACTGCGTAGCTGTCTAAGTTGCCAGACATCATATCAACACATCGAGCGGGAATGCACCAGGACAAAACATGAAGAAATGAAGAAGAAAACAGTTAAAAGTGGCAGAAAATTGTGAAAAGAGAGCAATGAGGAACAAAACAAAAACAAAATTCAGCGTGACGGTTAGAATGAAGATATTGTGTGGGTACATCTGCACCATTTTGATCAATTGTGACCCATATCATCTAGAGACCCCAACGACTAGTTTCATTTGCCACATAGACTCCAACCAAAAGGTCTACATTTCACTACTCGTCTCAGAGCACCAGTCAAAGTCTGATAGCATGTTTTAGTCTGTTCGCCTCTAACCTTTTTCCGACCTGAACTTACATCACCTAACGTTGTGCGACGAGGCAGACGTTGAATGAGCATACAGAATACAGTTCCCAGCCATATAAGTTGATGAAGGTCTGTAACCTCATCAACTGACTAAAAGTTAATTGTAACATGACGACAAGTTAAAGATTGCCTAGAAGGAAATTAAGAGAACAATTTTTCGTTGAAGTTAATAGATGCTCAGGTTGGTCGAATTCTTAGTATATGTCCATTCTGAATTTTTGTGACTTTTTGAATATTCATATATAGTTCATATATTCAACTAATGTTCTCTGTAAAACACGAAACCCTGTGGTACAGACATGCTGGCAAGTTTTATTAATCGGGATTGTTTTCATTGAATACTAAAAACATCGAAGATGAAGGAAATTCACATTACAATTATGTGGTGAACTGAAGCATACACACTATCTTTCGTCTTCGGGATTTTGAACACTTTATTAACCTTCCTTTATTCATCCTTTCTCCTTGTATTCATTATTCTTTTTCCATCCACTTTCTTTTCATGTACTGTTTGACAGTGTGGCAACTTCAACCAATGTCCTTCTATCCATGGTTTAACGTGGATCTGTCTCTCTAGGCATAGTTTTCATTTCACACCTTTAACCACAAATTATCCTGAGCAAAATTGCTATACATATGAAGGTTTCCCAGTTTTTACCTTTGGTTAACAAACTGTTAAAGTTTTGGGCTAGTTTTCTTTTCTTTCTAAAAGGTTTGGAATCAGTTAATCAATATGGTTGTAACTTTCCCTGGTGTACTTTACTGATGAGACTTTATTGATGAAGATACTAGGTTATTCAAGTTTTGGATTTAGTTAAAAGTGTAGATGATTGAAATTGAAAAATATGGATCGTTGGTTTGCAAACTATTATCTCCTGAACAGAAACAGTCTTTTTTGAGATTTATTTATCTAGAGTACCTGTCGATGAGAAGGTTGAAATTAAAAAGAAAATAGCTATTCAGTACTACAATGCTTTCAGTGGTTGCCTAATTGATCTCATCTTGAGGTGAAAATTGTCTCTAATAAACATTGAAATCAGTAGAAAATGTAATTGATAACATAACAGTTCATTAGCAGATATCATTTATATTTTAAACTTTCCAATGGTAGTTTAACTGAAATCTGTCAGTTTTTTTTGTTTAGGTGAAGTATCTGTTGTCACACGCCAACTTTTTATGAACTCTATCTTGTTTCATTCATTCCAATATATTGTATTTTTTTCAGGCTCAGTTGAATTCAGCTCAACTAAATACAAAAGAACCAATCAAATTAAGCTTGCTCACACTGGAGGATTATTTTATCACAGATTGTATAAGTCGAGCATCTCAAACAATGGCGAAATGCGTAAAAGCTGTACAAGAACATGAAAAGGCTAGTAAATTATAATCTATTATCAGCATCACTCACTACCTTTTAACACTTGAATTCACTTATAAGAAGAAAAGAATGCTGAATTTAGTTAAATCTGTTGATTGTTTTTGTTTCTTTTTTTCATTCTCGTAAAGCTGATACATTGATTATTTGTACTTTCAATTTGCGGTGTAGTTATTATAATAGTTGCGCAGATAATAAACATATCAGAAAAATGAAGTCACTTGTTATTACCTGTTTTTGTAGCACGATATTTACCAACAGTATGTATTGTGTTAAGAGTCAATCCACAGGAAGTTCTGTTGGATATGGTTTTCGTGCTTGTTGGAACTCACCAACAAGACGTATCTCCAACGACAAGGAAACTGGTTTTCCCTCGGTGATTCGGACCTACATCACAGTGTTCGTAGACTTACTACTAAGCCATTCATTTTCCACGTTCATATATAGGGTCAGAGACAACAAACTAGAACTGCAGTATATTAGCTTGTAAATCTTGCTTTCAGTCTGATGGTCACAGAGGCTAATCCTGTTTCATTCACTGAGAGTTTCGGCAGCCAGGTAGTATTAACAGATATGTCTCATGGTCACGATCTTAGTTGCAAAGATATTTGTCTCCGGTTTAGATGCACCCACTTCTAGCTAGCATGTCTACTACCCTGAGTTTTACTGCTGTCACAAAACATATCATGCAGACAACGCTTTTAAAAGCAGTAGGAAAAACTCATTGGTTAGGAGGAGGATGTTAGTGTTGTGTTCTTTGAGCTGCTTACTGTGATAATGGCGCTTTCTTTCACAAATAGGCTGCTCAAATATTTTGGAATCAGTGTCTTTATATAAACCAGAAAAATTCCATGTTATGTAAGCAGAATAAAAACATTATTACTGGTTCATTGAATGTCCTTTGATTAATTAATTCTAACAAGTTAGATAAATGTCATATCTGACAAGTCGAAAATATCCTCCATTCCCATGAATAACAGGCAGTTGGTGCTACAAAATATCGTCTTATGTACGGGCAGTTCTGTAAGTCTTGGTTGCTGTAAAATCTAGTTAATCGAACATACTAAATAAAAGTTACAATTTATTGTTCGTTTTGTTTTTATGAACTCACATCGCTGAATTATGAATTCCTAGCAAAATTACATCCCCCCTAACAAGCAGTAAACGATGCAAGATGTCGTTCTTAACATTTTCAAGCCGGTATAGTGGATATCTTAAGATGACTGTATTCAATGAGCGACGACCCCCACCGATTCGAAATAGGCACTAATTTGCTTCGGAATCAAATGGTTGATTTCCTACTCAATGTCAGTATCTCTAAAAAGACAATTATCACTGGAAATTATCATTAGACGTATTGAAATTAAAGACACTACATTTCATAGGCGTGGAGAAGAACTGCTAGCACCGAAGCGTTGTACAGCTAATTTTTAAAGTCAAACTACTATCACAACGTCGGCATAAGTGGCCTAGATTAGTACAGACCTCTCTGACTTTTGATACATATTTGTAAATCTGACCAGCACAGACCAGCAGTCAACTACCAAGATGCATGAACTTTCGGACTACTTTCAACGATTCACCAGCAAGAGTGACTAGAATTCTAAGCTGCTGCTAATCTTTTAGAAGTCTTGCACTTAGATGGTGCGATGGATGTGCCATGCTTGTAGATAATCATCAAATAACCACATAAAATGTGTTTCACCTTTATTATACCCCGTAGTCAAACATTATTGCATGGTTCTGAAACCAGATCTACATCACAGACCCTTACAGCTTCCCCTAGTTTCATCAATGGTAAAACAGAAGAACGATTGCAAAGTCAGGTAATCCTGCCTCTACCGACCGCTGATTTGGTTTCATCAAAAGGGATGTATGTCTTACCCAAGGTGGTTTTTGTAAAGGAATTTCAAAGTGTTATCAAGGTTCTCAGGTTCATATATCTCTGAGCACAGTTTTATTCACATACTCTAAGGCAGCTACAATATCTATAAATGTGAGTGCTAAACGTATGACAATTTCTAAGCATCCATTGGAGGATTTTTAATTGGTCTATGCATCCAAGACCTAGATGGAAACTGATGTCGTAATGGCAAACCAGTTTCACGCATTCCGCAGTCTGCAACATGCATAAACAGTTAATGCTTTAGACGCAATTAGTAACACTAATACCACGATGGTTGTCAGGTACGTGAAGCATCTCTACCGACAAATGAGAATGACTAGACCTGCGAAATGCCCACTCTGTCATACTTTTCAGGATAGTCCGGTCAGTTCGCAGCTTGGTGTTTTTTCTTTGTTTTATAGTTCTGTAGTACTTGCAGTTTCTTTTGGCCTTTTTTTTCGTTGTATGGGGCACAAGATACAATGGTTAAAATTGCTGTAGCAGGAGACCAATTTAACGGTTATCTGATTTTACGGGCCTAGAGTCAAAAGCATCAGTGAATGCTGTCGATGGATGTATCACCAGCCAAACAGGCTTCGCTGACATCGGATAACGAAAAATAGATTGTACTGTTTCCCCTGGTAACTGCTGCTTCCATCTCGCTTGCTCATCGTAACCACCAACCCTTTTCAGTAACAAGAATATTGGGCTAGTTGGCGATTTTTAATCCTTGCAGTGTATTTTTGTGATAATTGAGTCTCTCCTTTAATGCGTCAAATAAAGGAAGTGGTGTCACTCGCTTGTGTAAGGAGTTCTATTTGTTGATCGCTCTGTATGAGAAACTAAGATATATACAAGAATTTTCGACTTTCTTGTATTACCACTAGAGTTAATCAGCGCTAGATGAAGTGAAGTGGAGAGATTGTACATGTGAATCACGTTATTGTTAAGGATATGGGATGCTAATATCAGATTATCTCTGCTCTCATGCTAAGACAGCAACAATAGATTTCACTGCTCCTTAAAGGATAAGTTGCATATACTGGTCAACTACTTATTACCGACTGTGAACGCGCTCCAATGCACTAGCTTCTTTTTGAACAGGGAACTGATTGATTGTTTACGCATTCAGTCTTGATATATAAGTAGCTAGACGGTAGAGGAGTAGCATGCGCAACCTTTATGAGCCATGTTTCTGTAATAGCAATTATTTCGAGTCCTAATTTATCAAGAAAAACCCGTTTTTGACGTTTTATTACAGAGGCAGTAGTATGCAATAGAGGTGAAATATTTGAGGTATCATCCGACTTAATCATTCAGGCTGTAGTAGTGTTTGTTTACAAGACTTCATTGCCAGGAAATCCACAGGTTTGAAATTTTCTATTCACCTCTGCCTTACTGAGCTTTCAGTTCGGTTAAATCTCATCTTTCTATCCACTTATCAAAAGACCGATATGGTTGTATACGAGTATTTCAATACAATACTACGCATACGCTACGCGTGTTTATATTCCTATCCTAGTTACCTAAACATAGGATATTCCATGCCTCAAGTTTATTTCTTATTTTATTTATAAGTTCAACTACTTTGCGAAGTGAAGTTTCCCGTAGTATATATCGAATACCTGACTCGACCAATTGCACAACATTTTTGTGAGGTCTGCGTCTACCGAATACTCAACATTGCAGAGGATGACATTTGATGCTGGTGAAATATCCCTGTACCCTGTAAAAATAACCTTTGAAGCCTCTTCGACTGATTCCGTAATATAAACAACAGAGGCACCAACCTATGATGACCCGGAATTTTTTAGACCTAATCCAGTCAAGCTCACTAGTTACATCCCTGGCATCATTTTTCGCTGACAGGTATCTTAGCACAGGCTTCATTATACTCAGGAGGCCTATCAGCTGACGTATCACACCCCAAGGTTCTTTTCCACTAGTATGAACCTAATCTATAGCTTCTCTATAGAATTTAAGGCTGTCTAATGTTGGTTTTTCTTGCGATATTGTGGGATTATTGTTTTCAAATGCACTGACCGAGTCTTCGTTTGATGCCATATTCATATGATGGCAGTCTGGGTCTCTACTACTCGCCAATCTTTCCGTCTCTCAACCTTCAACAAGAACAAGTAGGAAAGGAATTAAAACATGCTTTGTTTAGCCATTAACTGTACCCATCAATAAGGCAACGAGAGTTTTTTTTAAATTGCAAGCATAGCTAGCTATTTAGCTAACGACGATAAAAATTTTCAAACCAGGAATAGTTTATGGATGAAGACTAGTTTACACCAAAGCATCTGCAGACGATTTTTTACACCGTGCCAAAGACCTTTAAAACATAAGTTTCTCATGAAATATTCTCCTGAAACAATGTTCCAATTGAATACTTTTAGCTGGAGTTAACTGGGGGAACTTCTGGTACGATAAATATATTCAAGTAGCCTTTTTCAGACTGTAAAAGATCTTCAATCTTTACGCCAAATAAAATTATGCCTGATGTCTATCAAAACGAATCCATGGGCATGTTGCAGGGTTTTGGATACTCAGTGTTTTTGCAAGCCTTTGTCATCAATTCTGTGATAAATTTTAAGTAAAGCTAAAGGTTGTGCATATTTTCTTCGGTACTCATAGCTGGCTATCAATCCAATACGATATGACTGATATTTATTTCGATTTGTAAAAACAACCAGTTTGCTGATGTCAACGTGCTTAAGATGGCAAATTTATTAGCCATCAAAATGCAAGATCATATTAGCACGCACTTATGCCTAATTGGCGTTATAAAAAGTACTAGAGGAGATTCTGTGTACGTTCATACCATAGGAATCAAATCGCTATGTGAGTGATGCAGAGAGGCAAAAATGATTCCGCTGGACTCGAACTTTCTAACCTGTTTTATTTCTTACTGGTGACTCGTGATGTATTAGATTTGAGTACTGACTTTCAAAACCCATAGTCTAAGTACTGTACGGATCTCCAACTTTTGACCTTGAAACAGACATTGATCTGAGTGGATTGAAATTACTCATATAGATAAGAACATTAAGTCTGAACAGCACGGTGAGGAATTTTCTGTACAGCATGGATTCATATTATCTGAAGTACTTTGAACATCGGTAATAGAAACTATGAAACGTATCATAGCTTAGTTTACTTTACTGTTTCAAAAGAAACACATTATTAGTGTCAGTATATTTTGGAAGAAGTGCGTTAAATATCCTTCAAACGTGTTTCGACCTCAGTTTATGAAACTGCATCGATTATGAGTATGAATGAAGTATTTAGTCGGCAGTGACATTTAAATTCTGTTTATTAA